TAGCCTCGAATTAGTCACTCAGACACCGGAATGGGCGAATAACGCCTCGAGTAGCACAGATGGGGAGACAGGGGTCGAGTGAAATACGTGTACCAGGGAGATAGCATACGGATTTTACGAGGCAAGAGGGAGACTCAGATAGGACCCAGGGAAGGACTAGGTAACAATATGACAGACTCTGGTCAACATTTCCAGGACAAGGGTGAAGGGGGTGAGAACGACAGCGTGGAGTGTGAAGGGTTATCATCACTGCCGTTCGAAGGAGCACACCACATTACATCAAAATAAGCACGGTAAAAATTGTGACAGGGAAGGCTTGATAGGAGGATAAAGGAAATGTGAATAGCCCAGGGCAGAAGGGGAGAGAGAAAAACTGTTTAGCACACGTTTGGTCATATGATGGGCTTCAGTTGTTTCTTTTGACGAGCTGTACTATGGTGCTACAAATGTCGAGGCTCACTAACGATGCCGGCGAAACGCCTGGAAAAGTACCATGTCCACGGTCCAACTTTGTAAATAATCATGCATACAATGAACTCCGGACTAGGTAAGTTTCTCAAAGTCTTCCTACCAATGTGACCAAGTTGCGAAAACAAGCTCAAACAACTTCTATACAACGAAAGGAAACTGCGACCACACAAAAGGCCACACAATCTTGGTCCTTCTACCTTCTACAAAATAATGTTGTTGCACCGCTTGAAGTAGGATAGCTCCAGGTGACTCTATCGCTTTTCAAGGAACTTCTCCTACATGTACAGGCCCACATGCCTTGTTAGTTTACAAGCTGTTCTTATAAACGATAATATTTCGGGTAAGAGTGTAGAGATTTCATAATATAAGGTTTAGCCATTAATGGTCAAATTCATACATAACACAATCTGCGGATGCGTGAGTATGCTCCATTGTGTGAGATGAAGCTGGCTTTCGAAGAATACCTTAATAGATTGATATTAACGTACCCATCGTTTCACCCCACCGAAAACTGAGGCAGCTGTGACTGCTGGATCGTTTGAAGAACACTTCTGCTCATCGTTCTGCGGCCCCTACAAATCCGTGCTGAGTTTTCGTCTGTCATGTGAAGGACATCGTCAGAATCAGAGACAATCATTTACATAAAAATTCACCAAAAACATTAATTATTAAACCTTTCTTGCTATAGTGTTTTGGTGAATTTTTCGCGCATGATGACTCTAACGGTGTTTATCATATGATAAATGAAAGCGCGACGCGGATTGATCGGGGCCACATGATGGAGAACCGAGGTCTTCTTCGCAAAGTCCGACAGTTACGACTCTAAAGCAACCGTCCTTCGGTTTCCAGTGAGGCCAATTTTCGAATCCCTCTTGAAGCAAATTTTTAAACGAAATTAAGCATGGTGGATATAAAGACCATGATGATGTGGCCTGTTTGGTCGCAGTCTCCTTTAGCCTTATAGTGTTGACTCGACCTTGCTTTCGCAATTTGGTTGCAGCGTCAAGGGGACCTTGTGGAATGTGCAACGAAATTAAGGATGCGTCATCGTTGTGCTCCATCATACTCGTATCAGGAAGATAAGAGCCTAATTTGGCTTTTTTGGAACCTAAAGCGGGTCTCTCTCTTGTTTTTTATTTCTGACTCAGGAATTATCTTATCAGCTTATGCGCATGGGTGTATGCCATCATGTAAGAGTTTTATATTTAATTATCTGCTTCAGTACCTAGCCTCATCGATATGTCTTATATTATTGTGGCGTAATGATTTTAAGGCCAGGTTTGACGAAGACGTATACGAATTCAATATAAAAAGGCTGAATACCAGAGAAACAAGAATTGAGAGACAAGGCAAGATAAAGACTAATGCCTCTGGAGCTCAGAATGGTTTGCGCTCTTTTGAGCAAGCCGTGATTTTCTACTTATGATCTGCGCTGCTTGAGTTTCGTAAGTCGAATTTATATATGTGAGTTTAGCTTCTCCTGGTCGAAATGACTGCGCTTTATTGGATTGCACCTCGGCAGTCAACTTGATCTTGGAATGCCAAGAAGCAGTTCTTTCTGGGAAGCTAATGATGCTTGCGTAGAGCAGGCTTTACGATTACTGGGGCAAAACGTCAGAGATTATGGTACTAGGGGTGAAGATTAGGCATGGAAGCAGGCCTTTGTTATCACCTTGAGATTCCATTTTCCTAATAAAGGTCGCAATTTTTGGCTCAGTTTTGATAAGGGCAGGCA